TCTTGTACTCTCAACAGAAACTTTTTTTAAAAAAGTAATCCTGACTGACTTAAATATCATTCTAGTTTCCGATTTAATATGTTTTCCAGAACTAATGTTTCAGTGCCAAGCACATATTCGTTATCTCTTGCTGCTTAACCAATGACAAGATGCAATAATATATACCTCTTATTTCCTCCATCAGACTTCAATAATACAAACCATGTAGTATCCTCAGCTAATATTTGATGACCTTTGTTGTTGTTAGTTGCTGTTGAGTCAGTTCCTACTCACAGCGACCCTGTGTACTACAGAATGAAACACTGCCTGATCCTGCGCCATGCCTACAGTCATTGTTATGCTTGAGCCCATTGTTGCAGCCACTGTGTCAGTCCATCTCCTTGAAGGTCTTGCTCTTTTTCGCTGACCCTCTACTTTGCCAAGCATTATGTCCTTCTCCAGAGACTGATCCCTCCTGACAGCATGTCCAAAGTATGTAAGATGCAGTCTCACCATCCTTGCTTCTAAGGAGCCTTCTGGTTGTGCTTCTTCCAAGACAGATTTGTTTATTCTTTTGGCAGTCCATGGTAGTCAGTAGTCTTCTCCAACACCACAATTCAGAGGTATCAATTCTTCTTCAGTCTTCTTTATTCATCATCCAGCTTTCGCATGCATGTGATGCGATTGAAAATACCATGGCTTGGGTCAGGTGCACCTTGGTCTTCATGTGACATCTTTGCTTTTCAGCACTTTAAAGAGGTCTTTTGCAGCGGATTTGCCCAATGCAATGCATCTTTTGATTTCCTGACTGCTGCTTCCGTGGGCATTGATGGTGGATCCAAGCAAAATGAAATCCCTGACAACTTCAATCTTTTCTCCATTTATCATGATGTTGCTTATTGGTCCAGTTGTGAGGATTTTTGTTTCCTTTATGTTGAGGTGTAATCCATACTGAAGGCTGTGGCCCTTGATTTTCATCAGTAAGTGCTTCAAGGCCTCTTCACTTTCAGCAAGCAAGGTTGTGTCATCTGCATAACACACGTTACTAATGAGTCTTCCTCCAGTGCTGATGCCCCATTCTCTTCGTATAGTCCAGCTTCTCAGATTATTTGGTCCGCGTACAGATTGAATAGGTATGGTGGAAGGATACAACCCTGGAGCACATCTTTCCTGACTTTAAACCATAGTATTCCCTTGTTCTGTCCTAACAACTGCCCCTTGATCTATGTACAGGTTCCTCATGAGCACAATTAAGTGTTCTCGAATTCCCATTCTTCACAATGTTATCCATAATTTGTTATGATCCACACAGTGGAATGCCTTTGCATAGTCAATAAAACACAGGTAAACACCTTTCTGATATTCTCTGCTTTCAGCCAGGATCCATTTGACATTAGCAATGATATCCCTGGTTCCACACCCTCTTCTGAATCTGGCCTGAATTTCTGGCAGTTCCCTGTCGATGTACTGCTGCAGCTGCTTTTGAATGATCTTCAGCAAAACTTTGCTTGCATGTGATAGTAATGATATTGTTCATTAATTTCCACATTGAGTTGGATCACCTTTCTTGGGAATAGGCATAAATATGGTTCTCTTCCATTCGGTTGGCCAGGTAGCTGTCTTCCAAATTTCTTGGCATAGATGAGTGAGCACTTCTGGCACTGCATCCATTCTTTGAAACATCTTAGTTGGTATTTCGTCAATTCCTGGAGCCTTGTTTTTCACCACTGCCTTCAGTGCAGCTTGGACCTCTTCCTTCAGTACCATCGATTCCTGATTGTATGCTACCTTTTGAAATGGTTGAATGTCGATCAGTTCTTTTTGGTATAATGACTATGTATTCCTTCCATCCTCTTTTGATGCTTCCTGCGTCATTTAATATTTTCCCCCCATAGAATCTTTCACTATTGCAACTTGAGGGTTGACTTTTAGTCAACATATATTTTAGAGCATTATTTATCTGCTGGGTACTGTGGTTGATACTACTAGAATAGAAGGAAGTAAACGGCAAGGTCCCAGCCCCAGTGAAGCTTACATTTCAGTTTAGAAATACAAAAATAATGCATATGAAATAATAGACCGTGAGCAATATTACGATTTGCAAAGAGCTTACATATTATCTAACACTGTTGTTTCACTCACAAGAAAACTGAAGTTTAGGAAGACTATCAGATGGCATGAAGGCAACATAGCTGGTTAGCACTCAAACCAGAATGAGGCCCCAGGTCTCCAGTTCAGTGTATTTTTTTTCTCCCTGTGTTGTAAGAGAATATACGTACATCTAAACTTTAAAATACGTGGCTGTAAAATCCAAGTAAGTTAAGGAAAGGAAGATGGGTGGCTTTAAAAGTAGTCAAAGAGGAATTCAAGGAGGAGATGAGACTTGGATGTAGGTGTAAAGAATAAGTAAAGTGGAGGAAACGGAGTGACCCAACCACTGAGAGCCAAGTACAGCGAAACCTCTGAGAGCCAGAACTGCCTTGTTTTTTCGGGTCTTGCAAGTTTTCCCGCTTTTAACAGGGTGCAGTCTTACCACTTTTCTGTTGCTCTCTATTAGTGGAAGATATTTGAGTTTTCCTTCTCTGACAGATTTCTGCCTTACACAGGTTCCAGCTTTCACAGGTTTTACTGTACTTGTTATTGTAATGGGATAGTGACAGAACCAACCAGACTAACTTGAAGAGAACATATCACGCAGTGGAAGGAAATTAGGTTGCAGGGGCGTGAAAGCATGGCAGGGGAACTTTGAACTTGATGAGGTAAGATCATGGGGAATGTTCTCAATCCTTGATCAGGAAATGTCACAGTGAAAGTAGATTAAGGAAGATTATGTTTGTTTGCCAGAAGAAATAGATAGTTTCTATGTTTTCCTTTCCTTACATTATGTGAATTGGTTTTTTTCATTCTAAATAGGTTAAAAACTCTGTATTAATCAGAATAGACTAGTTTATGTTGCAGCCACAAGTTAATCCTGAAACCTCAAAGGCTTAAAACGTGTTATTTCTTGTTTGTGTTACTTGTCTAACACAGGTGGGTAGGATATAGGAGTGGAGAATTCTCCACTTACTCATTCAAGGACCCAGGCTGACTAAGGTCCTACCATCTAGAACATCTGGTTGCTGTGGCAGGAAAGAAGAGCTGGAGTATCCCTCACTGTTCTCTAATGCTTCAGCCTGAAAGTGACATGTCACTTTTGCCCCCAACCCATTGGCCAGAAGTAGTCACATGTTCTCACTCACCCAACTGATGGGGCTGGGAAATATGAGGGAGTTCGTGGATATTTTGTGAGCAGTAAGTGTCTCTTTCAAGGCTCTCTGAGGACTTGGGACATAGAATTCTACATGCTTAAGAGAGACTATATACTGCAAACACTGATGGAGCCAGACTGCCACATACTAGCTTGGTGACCATGGGAAAATTGCTTACCTTCTCTGGGGCATAGTTTCTTCATCTGTAAAATGGGCAGAGTGATAGGATGAACCTCACAGAATTATCATGAGACTCAAATGAGCTTGTGTATTTAGAGTGCTTAGAGTACTATACTACATATATAATTGTTAGTGGGTATTTAGTATTATTGTTAGTATTAATAGTTTAATCTGCTAGCTTCAATTACAGCATCCTAAAGGAAGGCTAAAGTTTTTGACTAGTTGAGGGAACCAGCGGGAAAAAGACTATAGTTAGTTAGATGTGAGACGGCTAGCATCTGGGCTAGCATGATGATATCAGGCAAAGAAAAGATGGGCAGAAGAGATGATGATATTGGGCAAAGAAACTCAAGCAGGATTTATTCACTGCCTAAATACCATGAATGAGAGAAGGATAATCAGTTTTCAGCTTTGTGTGACTGGGAGAATGAAGCTTAAGTTTATAGAGAAATTAGGGGCCCTTTAGAGGAAAGATAATGAATTAAAGTTCAGATGTGGTAATGGTGAGATGTCCAAGGCACAGGAGGCCATAGGAAATAGAGGAGTGGAGCCCAGACAAGAAGGTGGAACTGGACCTGTCTTTTAATGAACATATTTCAATAAACGGTGACATCGGAGTCAGAATATAGGCACTGGGGTCACATGGTTTAAGTTTAAATCTTGGGATCGCCACTCAGCGTGGCCCTAATCCTCTCATTTCCTCATCATTAAAATGGGGACAGTAATAGCACCCATGTCATAAGGTGGTGTGGTGTTAGTTGCCATTGAGTTGATTCCAACTCCTGGAGACCCCATGCGCATCAGAGTAGAACTGTACGCCATAGGAGTTTCAAGGCTGTAGCCTTTCAAAAGCAGATTGTCTTCTCAGGCACCTCTGAGTGGGTTCAAACCACCAACCTTTCAGCTGGTAGCCAAGCACTTACTTGTTTGCACCACCCAGGGGCTCCTTCTCATAAGGATTAAATGAGATAATGCCTGTAGAGTGTATGGAAAAGTAGCATGTAGTGAACGTTTAGTAATTATTCAGTCTTAGCCAGTTAAGGTTTTAATTGAATAGAAATTTGAGGATTATTTTTTAAGTGATCCATTTTTCAAAGTTTAATGTAAAACAGACTTGCATTAGTGGCTGTTCTCATGAGTATGAGTTTTGTCCTCCCTGAATTCGAAAGAATGGGCCACGTTTTGTTACAGGCTCACTTCCAATTCATATAGGAGCCCTCGTGGCATAGTGGTTAAGTGCTACAGCTGCTAACCCAAAGATCAGCAGTTTGAATCCACCAGCTGCTCCTTGGAAACCCTTTGAGGCTCTGATACACATGGGGTCTCCATGAGTTGGAATCAACTCAATGGCAACTAACAACACACCATCTTATGAGATGGGTGCTATTACCATCCCCACTTTAATGATGAGGAAATGAGAGAATTAGGGCCACACTAAGTGGCGATCCTGGGATTTAAACCCAAACCATCTGACCCCAGTGCTGGTATTTCTTGTTCTTCACTTGAAGTCAATGACCAAATGTTTTTAGCTTCACAGATGATGGTAAATTACCATGATCCGAGAAAAGTGACCAAAATAGACCATCTTAAGGGCTAATTTAAGCTTGGTGCTTCCACTTTTAAAATTGTACTATACTTTTTTTTACTGATTGGAAAGAGTAGCTGCCTTTCCTCTTGAAATATAAAATTACTTCTGAGCTGAACACATTTCTGTATCTAAATTGGCTTGTTGGTTAATTGGCTCTGTCCTTTAATATGTCTAGTTCAAATTGTGAAGTCTTAGAGGAGGCTCTACATTTGAAAGTATGGCTTGCGATATAGCATTTCATTTTTTATGTTCCATTATCAAAATTGGTATCATTGTCAATAGAGATACTGTGTTGGGGTAATTTGGGGGCTGGGTAAAACAAATTTGAGCTGGCAGACACATTGACTATACTTAGAAAGGTCTTGCTACCCATGCTAAGGTACTCTTTTGAGCAAGTGTATAATGTTGTAAAGAATCCTGGGATCTCTGAGTTTATAATTTTACATTTTACTCCCTGCCAATCTTCAAATGAGTCTTATTTAGGCAAGCAGCAACTACATTCCCTGCCGCCCCTTGTCCCTTTTCTGATAACCAACTGTTGAAATACAGATACAGGATACTACCAACCAGTGACCGAAAAAGAAATGATCCCCTAGGGACACAAAGAAAACCAAGCATACGTGAAAATTCTTTATTCCCAAGAAGTACATGACAAGTCGACCTTCCTCCCGAAGGGTTAAAAAAATCAGTTGCTGTTGAGTTGATTGGAACTCATAGTGACCTATGTCAGAATAGAGCTGGACTCCGTAGGGTTTCCAGTGGCTGAAAGTAGATCACCAAGCCTTTGCTCTGAGGTGCTTCTGGGTACGCTTGAACCTCCAGCCTTTGGTTTAGCAGCCAAGCGTGTTACCCGTTTGCACCACCCAGGGACTCCACCTCCCAGTGGGTACCTCCGTGTAAAGTTCTTAATGTTTCTCAACAGTAAGCTCTTAAATACTATGCTCACTGTTTGAGGAAAGCTCAATACTTTCATTGCCTTAGTTACCGCTGTCTTTTATAATGTTACTATTCAAACATATCTATTGCTAATTATATTCTCCCTGAAATTTATGTTGATGATGGACAGTGAGCATTAGAGACATACTCAAAGTTTTGTAGCTTTCTGCTCTTTATTCCAAAAGAGTACTTTGGATCAAAGGTTATGATTCAAAACAAAACAGAAAACCGGTGTTATTGAGGAGATACAACCTTAAATTGCAAGAAACATAGTTTTAAGAAATATATTACAATATTAACATTTTTACATTGGCAATATACAATCTAATCAGTCTTTTCTGCCAGATTATTGGCAGGAGATATCAATTAAATTTTCATTGACACAAAACTTTTCTTTTTACAGCTGAGAGTTATTAAGATAGCCTCCCTTTTGGTCTGTTCATTTACAAATGAGAACTGTGCTGTATGTTGTTCTCTTGAGCTGTAAAACATGTAACTGTTTACTTTCAAGTTGGAGGGCAGGAAATTAGAGCACTATCAAAGTTTCTTTTTTAAAGGAATCCTGATTGGAAGTTGAATACTCATTTTGCTTTATAAGTCTTGCAGACTCTTCATACAGTTTATTTTGCTGTAAATCCCAGATTTAGTTCCTTTTTACTTCCCATTTAAAGACTTGGAATGTATCATCGTTTGCGTTTCTGTCAGTTCCCGTGAGTTTTCTTCAGGGGCTGACCTCACGGCACTGGAAATTGATACGCTGACCTGGCGTTTCAACATCTTCATAACTTTTCTCTTGTACCCTTTACATGCAAAGAAATAAATGAAGGGGTCCATGCAGCAATTGAAGTTCATCAGGCTCACGGTAAAGTGCAGAGAGATCTGGAACGAATGTTTTTGACTACAGTCAAGGAGATCAGGAAAACGAAGCTTCTTAATCATGTGTTGAACAATTGCAATGTGGTAAGGTGTAAAACAGATAACAAACACAATGATTATAAAAATGATTGTGTTGAATGCCTTTTTGTTTACACCAGATTTCTCAGTTAGTGGGTTTTGTTTGGCAGTTTTAAAGAGTTTGCAACAGATTTGGGAATAGCAGATGAGAATGATTATGAGCGGAAGCACATATCCTATTAAACATGCACCAAGCAGAATCCAGGGAAGAAACTCTGTGTCTTCGAAGTTTGGGTATTCCATGCATGTAGTCCTTTTAGCCTCATCCTTTGACATAGGTATTATGAGTAGTGGGAGTGTTTGAGCAAATACTAGAATCCAGACAAATATGCAGACACCTTTTGCGTATTCAATCCTTTTCATCTTGTTATATCGCAGAGGGTGCACCACAGCAAAGAACCGGTCAATGCTCATGCAGGTCATAAAGTTCACACCTGCGTATGTGTTGATGTAAAACACAAGAGCAGTAATCCTACACAAGGCGTCACCGATCTTCCAGTTAAAGCCAAGCGCATAGTAGACTATCCGTGTAGGCAAAGCTGTGGTAAAAAGTATATCAGAAATCACCAAATTGGTTGAATACAAGGTGGTAGAGTTTATTTTTTTCCGGTTCTGAAAAATGACCACCAAGGCGAGTAAGTTCCCGAGAAGCCCAATGCCGAAGACGATGCTGTAATGCAGTGGCATTAGTATCTGGGCTGTGCTGTGGTGTGCGTAAAGGTCACAGTCAGCTCCCTGAGGAGTCGTGGAGGGCGTGGTGAAGTTGTCGTCCATGTTTAAATCCATCGGTGTCTTACAGGTTCTCTAGGAAAAACCAGGAAGGGTGCATTTCATTAAATGCATATTTAATTTAAAGCAGTATAAACTAACTGCCTTTTTTATATCTAATTTAAAAAATTTCAGGATCTATGTAATTTTTTAAAAATCTGTGATTACATATATGATCAAGGTTAGGAATAATAGAGTATAAAATTTATGTTTTTATTCTCATAATTCGGTGGCTTTGACAAAGCCCTGGCAAAGGAACTAGAACCATCTAAATAGGACAAATGCTGTTTTTGTGACAAGAGGGAATGCACTACTTTTTAGGCAGAAATTCCCCTTCCTTTTTCTGAATCATTGTCTGGCTAAGAATAAAATCACGTAAAGCACCCCACATGTCAGATGAGTAGAAAATTTTGCTTTTATATTGAATTGCAGTTGGGCTGTTTTTTCTTCGCCAAATGCGTATCACTGCCAGGAAATGAAATCAGTCACACATTTATATAGTGAAATATGAACTTCAACCACACTGATCTGATTTGTGTTAACGTGAAAAGTCTGAGAAACAAGCTTAGCCCTTGTTAGGAACTGAAAGTTAGATTTTCTTAAAAAAAAAAAAAGGAGAAGGAAAAAGCTTAAGCAACTTTAAGGGGCAATTTTAAAATTAATTTTAAATTGTGTCACCCTGCAGGTATTCCAATGATACTTACCGTATACATTCCTACATTTACACTTTAACGGTAAAGCATTACATATGGCATATTTTCTGTTTTGCTTTTATTCATTTAACGTTATCATGCATCAGTGTAACTTGTATATTTGTCACGTGTAGATTTTTGTAGACATCTGCTAAGTATTCTACAGTATTTCAGGGTGTTTATGCATAATTGGCTTAGCTACTCCCTTGATGAACATTTGGATTGTTTCCATTTTTTTTCTTGACAGAAGTTTTAAGTCCTAGGCTGAAGAGTAGAAAACTCTACAATAAGATGCCATATATGAGAGTGAAATTTGATAAAACAAGGAAAGAGCAGAGCAATAAATTTCTAGAAGAAAGATAATTCATCTCATAGGACCACCTCTGTGAAAATGTTTCTTTCTGAAAATCTCAACATACATAATTTATTTTGAAGCTGATTTCAGAGCAGGTTCATGGGAACTGTCTTTTAAAATACATAATGGGGAGAAGTATACAGTGGAATCTGATATTCCTCCAGAGGAATTATTATTTTTGGTAGAGATTAAGAAAGTTAAGCTGATTATAAGAATCAGAGAAGAATGTGCCGTTGCTTGCCAATTTGCGAATGTGCGTCCGACTTCTTTGCTGAATAAAATACGGCATTCAGTGAATCCAGAAATGACAGGAGTTTCAGAACAGTTTAAGTTCAAGAATGTTTAAAGACAGTCGTATTTACAAAGGTGAAAAATCGCAAACAAATAAAGCGCCCATCGTCTAGGGGATTGGTTAAATATTTTATGCTACAGCCATACAGTGGAATACTATATAGCTGCTGGCAGTGGCAAGCTAGTTGCTTTTTTATTGACAGGGAATAATGTTAAGTAAAGACAGCAGATTACACAACACACGACTTTGGGGAGGGAAAAAACAACCCTTTACGCTTACACATAGGAAGATGTCTACATGGATATATATGCCAAAATATGATTTTGTATAAATAATTTTCATTTTTGAGTTTTATCTGTATATAGTCTGAGTTTTTAACACTGTTAACAGTGATTGACTGTGAAATGAATAAATAGGTAAATAATCTTTTTTTGAAATCTGAGGAAAATGTTTTTTTTAAGTTCAGGCATTCTTGCATAAACTTTGTCCCTTCTGGTATATTTTTCAGAGCTAGCCCTGCAGTGCCCTTTCCTCAGATTTATGAATTAACTTGTACTAGCTGCCTACCGTGTGTCAGAAGCTTTCAATCATGTCTCATATAAACCTCACAGCAATCCTGTGAGCTAAGAACTGTCATCACCTACGTACTTCCCAGGTGAGGAAACTGAGCTTCAGAGCAGTTAAAGGTCAGGCTGGGAGCTTCTGTTTGGTGACCTGGCTTCAAGCCTCGTATTCTGTCTATTTTTTTTTGCAGGGGCATCTATTTCCTACTGCCCTTGAAGAACTGAGAGTCTGCTTTCAAAGCAATCTGAGCTTAAAGAGCCATTCTTGCCTGTAAATTAACAGCAAGGACACAAGTGCCCTGCTCATTCTTTGCATGACAGTGCTCCCTTATCAGCCTTTGGATTGTAAATGCCTCTTTTAACCATTGTTCAGGTATAACTTCATATTCATCTTGGATGTATTTTAAGTATTTCACATTTTAATTATTTTTAGGCAGCCACTTCTGTTATTTAGGAGAGATGAACCAAGTTGAACTTGAAGTATTGTAAAACAAAACCCACTGCGATCAATTGATTCCAACTCATAGCAACCCTATAGGACAGAGTAGAACTGCTCCATAGGGTTTCCAAGACTGTAAATCTCTACGGAAGCAGATTGCTACATCTTTCTCCCTCAGAGTGGCTGGTGGTTTTGAACTGCCGACCTTTCAGTTAGCGGTTGATCACTTTAACCATTGTGCCACCAGGGCTCCTTATGAAGTACTATAGATTGTCATTTTATTGCCTAGAGAAAAGCACAAAGAAATGCTTGTTCTATATCTTTTTTCCTTAAAACGCTAACACCAAACCAGACTTATTGTCGTTGAGTCGATTCCGACTCATAGCGACCCTGTAGGACAGAGTAGAACTGCCCCATAGAGTTTCCAAGGAGCGCCTGGTGGATTTGAACTGCTGACCTTTTGGTTAGCAGCTGTAGCTCTTAACCACTGTGCTACCAGGGTTTCCTGAAAACACTAATATCTATAAAAATTATGATTTCCTCATAATGCTTTCTAATGAAAAGATCTGCGTGGTCCATAAGCTGTCCTTAATGCCCCACACACCAACGGGCGTGAATCAGAAAGGCACAGATGGTAACGGGGCTGCATGAAGTTTGATCTTTATTGAGAGCCACCTTGGAAGCCATCTATGCCAGTTTTGTCTACATAATGCAATACTCGATCCTTTTAACTTTACTATTTTCCTAACATGGGTAAAACAAGAAGTTCTTCTCAGCAAAATATCTTCAAAGTCTTTTTACATACGTTTTTGGAAGTGGGCCTGAGTGTGTTTTTCTCTAGAATGTATCTCATTGCTAATAGAGTTGCTGGCATTTCTTTAGATACTATCATCACATTTTTGCATAACCGGACATGTTGACATGAACTGACAGGTTCCGTCTCGCCACAAAATGGAAAAAAATAGAAGGCCCAAGAAAAACTTGATTATTAGTATTTAAGGAAAATGGTCTATGATCTGATGTAATTTTTCCTTTGGACGTGTTTGCCTTGGATACCAACTTGGAGGCATTTGGGATTTTTCATAGGGCACATATATATTCTACAGTCCTAACTAAAATGCTTGGCTAGTTTTTCACTGAGGCAGAAATGAAACAAAACGTAAAGCATTTGCTATATTCAAAGATGTAGTGTTAGAATACCCGCTTTTAGTGTTTGCTTTAAGATTCCGGAAATGTCATCCTTCACCCTAATATTTATTATTTTAATAATATCAATGCTTTAAATGAAAGGGGTGAACTTCCAGGAATTCTGTTTAAATTCAGGCTTTAACAATTAGTTGGGTGGGTCAAGTCATGCTGAAGTGACCGCTGTATAAGGTCAGGTTCGCTTAAGACAGCTTATACAGTAAGGTAGTCAAACTCACAGCACCCACAGTGGCATGCAACAAAAAGGAAATTTCAGTAGAATTTTTTCAAAAACACATGGGAGGCACAAAAATGCAGACATAGAGGTATGAATTATATTTGTGTGCTGTTTAATAATTGGTGTGGTCTTATCAGATTCCTTGTCTGGTTTCTGTTGCTACACTATACTTTGACTATTTTCTTGAGGAAAGCTAAGATTGAGGAAGCTTTTCTGGAGCGGGGAAAACTAAAATCATTGGGAAGGGAGGGGGAAGACAAAGACACACGATTCATTAGAGTAACAAGGATATGGTTCTACTGAGGAAGTAAAGACAAGCATAGATGTATCAGGACAACACACTAAGGCTGTTTCAGTTCTCTTGAGAAAAAACACGGTCCGTGGAAGAAGGAAATCATTCGTTACTTCCTCCCTCTATTACCTGGTTTTATAAGGATTTGTTAATTATTTGGAAAAAGTCTCCTTGTTCTTGAGGCTGAGCAAACAGGCTTCTGAGTTTGGCCCACTGTCACACACACCACGGTAGAGCACTCAGCCAGTGATTTTTCTCACTTCCTTTTTAGTTGACTAAACAACCACCACTTTTCTGTGTGACATTTGCCTGTAAACTAGGTGAGTGGAAAGCAGTAATTCCTGGTGTGGAAAAGGAATCTGAGGCACAGACCGGCTGTGACCAGTACAGTCACAGCCCCCTGTCACTTCGTTGGTAAATTCAGATTGGCCATTCCATTATGCTGCTCATCAATTACTTTAACAGTTAATACACACCTGGGTGGGGCAAATGTAACGTGCTCAGCTGCTAACAGAAAGGTTGGAGGTTTGAGTCCACCCAGAGGTGCCTTGGAAGAAAGGCCTGGTGATCTACTTGCAAAAAATCAGCCACCGAAAACCCTATGGAGGACAGTTCTACTCTGACACACATAGGGTCACGGTGAACTGGGGTGGCCTCGATGGCAACTGGTTACGCACCTCAGTAACCGAGTTAAATAAATCTTTGCACACTATCAGGTGATTTTTTTTTAGCCAGGTTTGAGTCCTAAATTGATAGCTATGTCTGTGTCCGTGACTCATTTTTTAGAAGGATATAGAGAATATTGTTCAGGAAGGGTGACACAGTGTTGACTGCCTATGTTTTCTGAGGATGGAAAAATAGATGATCCTGAAATGACCTCACAAATCCCTGAGTGATTATATTCAGAGTAGAATTGTCGGTGGTCAGCCTGTCTGACAGGACCTCTCATTCCCTGCCTCCTGGGGAGCTTGTTTTCTCTGACTTGTGGAAGTGTGACAAGATTGAGGAACAGCAGTGGGCAGCCTTACCAGGGACGGTTAACTCTGTGGCCTGCCGCTGACACCATGACATAGCCTGGTTCCATCTCTCATAAGTCCACAGAGAGTCATTCACAGTACAAAACAAGAGAAGAAAGACATTTGTCAAGACAGAAAGGGTGTTTACCAGTCTGCAGATTCCTCCTTGTACCGCCTTTGGTGTCCTAAACCCAGTGGACGCTCAACGAAGACCAGCTTCAACTTCTTAAATATGTACCAAAAACCAAAACAAAACCTGTTGCTGTTGAGTCGATTCCAACTCATAGTGACATATATGACAGAGTAGAACTGCCCCATAGGGTTTCCAAAGAGTAGCTGATGGATTCGAACTGCCAACCTTTTGGTTAGCAGCCGAGCTCTTAACCACTGTGCCACCAGGGCCCCTAAATATGTACATACCATTAGAAATGATGGAAAAGTGAAAGTGCCTGATAATTATTTGATTAAAAACCCATTTGCACGTTTGGGTTTTACATGTTGCAGCAATTTTTCTTCCACCTTTCTGTGATTATTTATTCCTTGTATGGCTTTTGGAGCCCTGGTGGCACAGTGGTTAAGTGCTCGGTTGCTAACTGAAAGGTCAGTGGTTGGAACTTACCAGCCTCGCCACAGGAGGAAGATGTGGCAGTCTACTTCCAGAAAGATTTACAGCCTTGGAAACCCTATGGGGCAGTTCTACTCTGTCCTATAGGGTCACTAAGAGTCAGAATCGACTCAATGGCAATAGGTTTTTTTTTTTTTTTGGTATGGCTTTTAATAGCTTCTGCACCTTCCAAAAGTTTTGTGTTCCTGCAATCCAGGTACCCAGTGAGGGATCATGAAGGCATTCTAGACTCTGTCCTCCTTAACCACTACCTCCAGTCAGCCAGTGGTCCTGGGCATTCACCCCACCCCTCTTCTGCTCTTGGCTTCTCCTCTACACCACATGTTTATGGCTGTCTCTGTCTGCCTGTTTACCATTGTCACTATCACTGCCTTCCTTCTAAGCATCCTCACTTCTCTATGGAGCTACAGCAGCAGCCTCTCGCAGTGCCCCTCAAATGGTGAACCCTGAACAAACTGAGCCCGTTGAACCCTGGACAAACTTAAAACTCTTGATCATGATGCCCAGTTTCCTTCATGATTGGATTTCTGGCCGTATCCCCTCTGTTAACGCCCTGGGTCTAGCCACGCTAAGTTACTTGCACGCTTTTGAATGTCCCGTATTCTCTCACAACTCCGTGCCCTTGGGACACACTTTCCTCTGTTTGATGCCTCCTTTCCCCATTCTAGTAGCCTCAGCTCCTACTTTCTTTCAGGACTTAGCTCGAAATCAGCTGCTTCTGAAGCTCCCCCTGATCTTCACTCTCTCCTGCTCCCTTTCCAGCACCCGCAGAAAGGCAGTGTGGCATGTCCTTGTGCTGGAGCGCTGTGCTCTGTAATAGCATCTCTAGTGTTGATTTTTTTTCTCCTGTTTCCCGCTAGCCTGTGAAGTCCTGTGAGCCGGAACTGTATATTGTTAGTTTCTTATCTATCCAACTGACCCATGACTGATGCTCAATAAATACCCATTAATTAAAGACTAGTAAAATCCCAGCTTTCTTGGTCCTCAATCAAAGGTTACTTATTGGACTATAGTAACCCCTTGATTAATAATAATAACCAATATTATTGAGGATAGACTATCTGGCAGGCACTACCCTGAGCATTCTACACGTATTCACTCATTGAATCCTCACGAAACTTTCAAAAATCCATTTACCGATGGGGAAACTGAGGCACAGAGCACTTATGTGACTTGCCTAAAGACACAGCTATAAAGTGTTAGTCGAGACTCAAACCCACTTTGCCTCCAGAAATCACATTCAGGATGATATATTTTATCCTTAGTTTTTATTTCCAACATAATCTGATATTATTGGTAGAAAACAAGTAAAATAGGAAGACATCCCAAAACTTTAACGTATACCAACTCTACCTCTCTGCAGGGAGCTTGTTGGGGCCGGGGGTGAAGGGAGCAGGGAAAGGAAAGAACAGGAGAGGGGGAGGGAGGGAGAGAGATGTTGATTTAAATAAAGGAATTCGTTAATTTGTTTGTAGCATATTTTAAAGTAAAGAAAAGATTTTGTAAATAAATTTAGGCTTTACTATTTCTAACAATATTTTAATAAAACAGTTTGGACTGAAATTTAGGTGAAAAGAAGTTGAATACCTAGAACGGCTTTTATAGTAATTTATTTTTTAAACTACATTCTAGATATTCACAAGCATTTGCAGGTATTTAACACAATGTTTGTATTCTTCTCTATTGGGCTTTCAGGGTATCATAAGAGTCCTGGTTACTGCTACACTTTTCAGAGGATTTTCACATATACTGTCTGATCTTATATTGGTGCCTTGTATTTTACAGATTGTTGTAGCCACTGCGTATGTTGAGTGCTTTCCAACCTAGCAGGCTCATCTTCTAGCACGATAGTGGACAAAATCCGTAGAATTTCCACTGACTAATTTTCAGAAGTAGATCACCAGGCCTTTCTGCCTAGTCTGTCTCAGTCTGGAAGCTCCACTGAAACCTGTCCACGATGGGTGACCCTGCTGGTATCTGAAATACCGGCAGCATAGCTTTCAGTTTCATAGCAACACACAAGCCACCCCAATACTATACCGACAGCCACCTGGGTCATACACGAGCATGGGAGTGGGAATGCTTTGCAAAGTGGTGTGCTCTTTGCCCTCTTGTGTCGACAAAGTACTATAAACCCCCAAAGAAAAAACATGCACTGAAATACTAGCAACTGTGTAGTCCAAACAGTGAGCACAGTTAGGTGTGGAATCATCCATAGACTCCTAGACTTCATGTAAAATATTCTGTAAAATAAAGCTCCGCAAATACGTTCAAGAAAAATAATTCTCGCAGAAATGATACCTCAGTTTGCCTGTTGGATTTATACTTTGATAGTTTAAGGGACAAAGAGAGGGGAGAATAGTGACAGCAGATAGTTTTTTAGTACTCATTACAAGAAGCAGTATTATAAGCACTTAGCAGTATCAATGCTCCCTATTTTACAATGAAGAAACTAAAGCCGGAGAGGTTAATTAACTAGCCCAAGACAGCACAACTTGTAAATAATATAGCCTAGTTTTGAACCTAACTCCAGGGTCTGTGTTCTTAACCACTGCACTATATTGTACTTAAAATGCTTCACTCCCCACCCCCCACCACGCCCCCTGCAAAAAAAAAGTCTCCTTTCGGGGAGGTCTCACAGCTTTATGTTTTAATAAGAGTTTCTCTTGCCCCTATTTCCAACCTGAATATAGGTATTGACAAATAACTGGATATAATTCACTCTTTTTGATTTTTTTTTAGGCACATAAAAGTTCTAGAAAACATATATGGAGAAATGTTTAGCTTTACTGATCATCAAATAAATGTAAGCCAAACAATAGGTATTATTTTATTTACTCCATTTTAAAGTAACTTTGTTCCTTTCCTGTAAAAGAACAGTTCTTATGTGTTAATGTCACATCACCTGAAATCTTGGCATTATTTGCTGATTTATACACGATGCTCTTGTTTTGTTTTGTTTTTACAGAGTTCACATGAAACTACAAAGCAAGCCCTATTTTTTAGGAAAGGTATTTCTGACATGACCCTTTGCTTTCACCTAGCTTAATAATAGCTAATTAGAACTGCCAATTACCAGAGAGTCTAAACCCTGTTAATAGTAAACTTTTTGTTAGAAATGTTATAACTTGCTGTTGAATAAATTCTTTTCCTTTACCTTATGCCTTAAAACTTAGGCTTCAGAGCCTTCCTTAACTCAGCAGAATTTGTTGAAGAATCAAAGTGTCTCATACTTACATATCGGTGGCTGGCTCAGCCCTCTGTGCAGTAGCGGTCAGTGTTTGCCCAGACTGAAGTAGGTTAACCTTAGCATGTTGTTTTAAGAGAGATTATGCAGACATCCTTTTATGGTGGTGACTTTTTTTTTTCTGTCACCCTGTGACTGAGCATAGTAACGATCGGTTAGCCTCATGAATACGTGTGCACTTCTTTTAAATGGGAAGTGAAATTTTCTGTTACCAATTTTTTGTTTTAATAGCTCTCAAAAAACCCCTTGGAATTTATGAATTGTTTATATTCGTGGGACTTTTAAATTTTTTCTGTAGAGTTTTAAGTATCAAAAAATTCCTTGATCCACAGAACTAATACCCCATATGAACCACAACCTCCTCTAACCTGAGACCAGAAGAACTAAACGGTATCTGGCTACCACTATTGATCGTCCGACCAGGAACACAATAGAAGGTCCTGGATAGAATGGGAGAAAAGCGTAAACAAAACTCAAATTCCTGAAAAAAGGCAAGACTGCTAGAAACTAGAGGAACCCCGAGACTATCACCCTAAGATACCCTTTGAACTTGTAACTAAAGCTATTTCTGCAGATCACCTTTCAGCCAAGTAATCAGTTGGCTTATAAAATAAACAGTATCGCCCGTGTGTAATGTGCTCCCTTAAACAATTAATTATATGAGACCAAATGGTCAACAGTTAGCCAAAAGCAAAGATGAAAAGGCAAGGTGGGAAAGGGAAGCTAGATCAAGGGAAACAGAGCAAACAGAATGGGAATAATCAGAATGCTGACACATTGTAAAATGTGTTCCAATGGCATGGAACAATTTATATAAAAATTGTTAAAGGGGAACCTAATTTGCTTTGTAAACTTTCATGTAAAACATAATAAAATGTTTTTTAAAAATTCCTTGAAAGACACTAAAGCAATAATCTTAATAAAAAAAGAGTCATATTACATACATTTACATATTCTGTATAAAATTATGTTTTTTTTTAACGTTTTAAGGAAAAATGGCAGATTTTGACAGTACTTTTTATCTGGAAATTTGGTCTCACCAAGTAGTATGCCTGTTTTATATCTGTTAAAAATTATGATAAAGAAACAAAGGTTTATGTGGTGGGTGGGAGACATACACTGTTTTGATATAAACCTGATGCCATCGAGTGGATTCCAACTCATAGTGACCCTATTGGACAGAGTAGAACTGCCCCATACGGTTTCCTAGGAGCAGCTGGTGTATTCGAACTGCCGATCTTTTGGTTAGCAGCCAGGCTCTAACCACTGCACCACCAGAGCTCCTCATTTTGATACACAGACAGGAATATTCAGTGTTTTTGGGCCGGAGGTAACTGATAAATCAGTGACCGCATGGACACATAGGTGATGAGGGAAAAGTTAAAGTGGGATGCTTGATTTTTATAATGCAGCCTCTTGTGTGCAGGATAGAAGAGACCTAAGCTGTTCACCT